ACATACCTGTTCAATTCAAAACCAAGAGCCACATACCTGTTCAATTCAAAACCAAGAGCCACATACCTGTTCAATTCAAAACCAAGAGCCACATACCTGTTCAATTCAAAACCATTCAAATAAATTAACAAAGTAAGTTGTTTAATTTTATTCTGTTTTTATTTGTTTATTTAATCAGATTTTATTTTTATTTTTGTAAACAAAATAAAATCTGTGGTTTTATTTATTTATTTTTATTTCGAGTTTGATTTTTGTAATCAAACAAATTCTCTCCTTTTCTCTATTTCTTTTATTCTTGTTGTTGTTTTGTACACAACAGAATTTAATCTTTTTAAATACGGTGAAGATTGTCCTAACATTTGTTGATTTTTGTATCAGTTATTTTATATTTGTTGGTGTTTGTACACTCACCTCTCTTTATTGATATTTGTATCAGTTATTTATGTCCTCTTATTTAATCAATAAAGTTTCTCTTGTTAATGAATAAAAAAAAAGGTTAATTTTTTTTCATATTGGTTATCTCAACTTAAGGGAGCATTTGGGTTTGCTAAGCTGATTTTAAGACTGATTTCGATGATCTAAATCGTTCACTTTTTAGGACTTGTTGAGTAAAATATGTATGCAACACATCAAAATAATCGAATATCAGTAACTATATGTTGGAATCAAATTTATATTATAAAAAATGAATGGCTATTCTTAAAATTATATTTGTCGTTTATTTTTTTAAAACAAATATGATTCATATATATAATTACTGATATCCAATCATCTTTATTTTTTACATGAATATTGTACTTCACGAAACCTAAAAAGTGAACACTTCAAATTACCAAAATCGATTCTAAAATGGGCCTACTAAACCTAAACACTAGCTCAAGTTGATATGATAATTTAAAAGAAGTCAAACCCCCAAAAATTACTAACTAGGTCCTTCTACATTACACTATTGTTTTATTAATTTATGTGATGTTCATGTTTCAACTATGACGCAATTTTGTTCCCTATGATTTTTTATTGATGTGTAATCCTTTGTTTTGATTATTATCAATAAAATTTTCTTTTGCCGATTAAAAAATGAAAAAAAAACTATATATATGATAATTTGTGGTATTGGTACATAAACACCATAACTAAATCATTTTCAGTCGTATAACTAAAACAAACATAATGATTTATAATCAAATATCACTTGAGGTATAATTAATTTTTTTTTTCAATTATAACTAAAATAATAACTACAATAGATAATAACCAACATTATAATGAATCATGACTAATACCAAAACGAGTCATCACCCAATATTATCTGAGACGTAACCAAAGATATTTTCACTCATAACTAAAACAACAACCACAATTCCATAATGTACATGATGCACATTTCCTTCGGTTATTTAATAATGGGGTTAATTATATATTTAGCCCTTAAATTATGATTCTTGTATCATTAATATCTAATGCAAGGAGTCATTCATCTCCATACTTTTTTAGTCCATACACCTCTACACACATTTTATCCACCGCACACGTGTCTAAAACAACATCTAAGGGCTTGCATCTATTCAGTCGACATAGAGAACACAAACCGAGAGATGCAGAGGGAAAAAAATGAAAAATATTTGAGATGCTCAAAAGGTATTCATAATTCTCTCCACAATGATATAGTTGAATAAATGTCAATTCTTAATTTATTACATACTTTTTTTTTTCACATTACTACAAAAATAGATAAAAATCACATTTTTTTTGTGTGATGTATGTTATTTAATCACACCTTTAATGTTTTATTAAGTATGATCTTTGGGAGTGATTAAAAAGGGTCATTTTTAATCACACCTTTTAAGTGCGATTAATAACATTTAGATCACACTTTTTAAGTGTAATTAAAAATATTTAGGTCACACTTTTTAAATATGATTAAAAATATTTAGATCACACATTTTAAGTGCAATTAATAACATTTAGATCAAACCTTTTAGTCGCCAAAAGCTCATTCGTGAAAAAAAAAAAAAAAATTACACTCACTAACTTCTCATTTGCTCTTGTAGAGATTCAAACCATCAACTTCTCTCACACCATAAACCTTCTACAACACATTTTTTTTACTGCACCTCTATAATACCATATGATTATATATGCAACATATATTATTTATATAGTATATAGACCCGTATTAATATAAAAGTATATATATATAAAGATAATTATTTTTTATTGAACATAATTTATGTAAAAATAAATTATTTACTAGAAAAAAAAAAAGAGACCACTTTTGGCAACTAAATATAATTTTAGTCACCAATTCTATACTTTTGGCTACTAATTATTTTTCAGTCGTTAAAAAATTTAATTCTCGGGCTAAAATTACCACTTTTTTGTGACTAAACTTCTTTTTAGTCGCCAAAAAGCCTCACTTTTGGCTACTAAACATCTTTTTAGTCACCTAATGCCTCAGTTTTGGCTACTAAATTTCTTTTAGTTGCCAAAAAGCCTCACTTTTGGCTACTAAAATTTTTTTAGTCGGTAAATGTCTCACTTTTGGCGACCAAACATCTTTTTAGTCGCTCAGTGTCTCACTTTAGGCTACTAAATTTTTTTTAATTGCCAAAAAGCCTTACTTTTGGCTACTAAAATTTTTTTAGTCGGTAAAAGCCACATATGGGCAACTGAACAAATTTTTAGTCGCCAAAACCTATACTTTTGGCTACTAATACTTTTTTAGTCGCCAAAACATATACTTTCAGCGACCAAAAGTGTTTTTTAGTCGCTAAAGATGCTTTTTCTTGTAGTAGAGTGTGATTAAATATATATATACATATATAATTACACTTATTTAAAAAGTGTAATTAAAAAGTAGTAATGTATATAAAATCACACTTTAATTAGAAGGCGTGATTAAAAAATATATAAATAATCACACGTTAATTAGAATGTGTGATTAAAAAATATATATAAAATCATACTTATTTAAAAAGTATAATTAAAAAGTAGTAGTGTATATATAATCACACTTTAATTAGAATGTGTGATTAAAAAATATATAAATAATCACACTTTAATTATAATGTGTTATTAAAAAATATATATATAATCACACTTATTTAAAAAGTGTGATTAAAAATTAGTAGTATATATAATCACACTTTAATTAGAATGTGTGATTAAAAAAATATATATAATCACACTTAATTGAAAAGTGACATAAAAAATGAATATTATCACACTCAATAAAATTAAGTGTAATTAAAATATCAATCTAATTTTTTTTTTATCACACTTCCAATAAAAGTGAGATATTTTTTTTTGTCAAAGTGTGATCTTTAACTATAGTGTCAGTAAAACAAAATCTTTATTAGTGAAAAAAACATACATTTCACATGAGATTACATCAATAAAGAGGAAAGAAGAAAGAAAGAAATATAGATAAAGCACAATGTTGGTGAGGATCCAACACTAGCTGAACAAAGCAGAGGAACAAAGCAGCAGTAGCCACGCAATAAACAGGCCACACCCAATATTCAAAGTGGCAACAACCAAACCTATATGTAGAGTTTAATTTTTTTAGCTTATACATAATGACACTGACTGAGTACTTGAAGGAGGGGCATGAGTTAGTCACATAACAAACAACATAACAAGATAAAGGAACAAAAAACAACTGCCACACAAAGCAATAAACCACATCCAAAATTCAAACCAGCAGCAGCCACACCCAACAGCAACTCAACTAACACCCTATATGCAGAGTTTAATTTGTTGTAAATTATATATAATGTCACTCACTGAGTACTTCAATGAGAGGCTTGAGGTTTTGACCCACATTGCAATCCTAAGCTTGATAGAATCACACAACCCTTCAAAATTTTGCTACCACTTATGGTTATACTTGTATTGGCTACTAGTCCTCTTCCACTCACAGCTTAGGCATATGACTTTCTTCCTAGTACTGCAACAGGAGCCCTACTAGTACTACCTACACCTCTCCTACTAACTGATATCTCTGATGGCCCCTGCCTAACTTCCTTACCTTTAACAAACTCTGCTACTTTTACCTTCAATGTTCTGTTGTCACACCATAGTCCATTTGCTTTTTGAACTGCCATTCTTGCTTCCACTAGACAACTATAACGTACGAATCCAAATCTTGATTGCGGCATCTTCCTCCTTTAGTTATAGGAGAGCAGGTATGAATTTCTCTTTTTCAGTAAATTCTATTGAATAAAAAATTTAGACAATGGAATATTTGTAATTTTTCATACCACGGAAATAATTTGTATTTCAAACAAATCTCAAACAATATATTTGTAATTTACCCTAAATCAAAAAAAATAAACACAATTAATAAAAACAAACACCAAACACCAAAATGATCATGGATTGAAATATGCTTACTTTACAGCCTTCAAACCCATCTTAGAACATTTTTATAAAACTAGTTAAAATTTTGTTATATTTTAATTCAAAAGTTAACTTTTTTATTTCAGCTATTCGCTTTTTCAATGCACTCTCTATGAAACTCTTTATTTTAGCCTACATTATTTAAATGCTATTTTTATTTTAAATTATCTTTTTATAAACTCAAATACAAGTAACTCTAACATATCAAAAACAATATCTTTTACTGTTTAACTAGTTAAAACTACTAAGTACATTTGTTGAATAAAAATTATCAAATTTAAAATAACTAATTTGATAGCTAATTTGATGAAATTGAAATTTGATAATTTACTTTATTCACAGTTTTAACTGAAAAAATAAAATAAACAGAGATGCTCTAACTAGTATACACAATCAAAACCCAATCCAGTTGTGACTGATGCTTGTTTTAAAAGCCGGAGAAATCCTCGCCCGAACTCTCTTAAAAATAATTTCAAGAACAATCAATTTCCTATTATCATATATATATATATATATATATATATATATAATAGTTAAAATATATATTTTCAATGGATCTCATATTTTCATAATTTTTTTTTTGATCGGCAAAAGAAAACTTTTATTGATGAAACAAAGAATTTATGACAACAAAAAAAGAAAAAAAGAGGGATGGGTGCAAAAAGCATCATAGTGAGACATATCAATCCCAATTAAGTTGGCACCAATATGACCACCCAATCCCTTACTAGCACACCATCAAGAGTTGGTGAGAAACCAACCGAAGCCAAAAAAAAAAAAGAGAAGCACAAGGCAAAACAAAACACCATCAGAACACACTCAGCACACTCAGCAGCAGCCCACCAAGTTAACCTCTGTTTTCAACACCAAGACACTACATCAGCAAACATCATCAGCTCACCAAAACCAAAACAACTGCCAGTAGCCAGATACAAAACCAACAGAACAACCCAACACCACTACCTTAGGGGCAACACCGAATCAGACCCAAATTGGAGATGAAAACAAGAAATGAATACCTGCTGCCAATGAGATGGTTCTAAGCCCATTAAACCAATTCCAGCAGAAGCAACAAACCAAGATCATCCCAACATGCTGCCAATATAATGGAACTGAACCCAGAAAGCCAACTATAGCAGTATTAATACACAAAGGAACACCCAACCGAACCAGCAACTGGACACAACACGCCATTGAACCTCTACACCTTGAAACATAGCATCTCTACAGCCAAGATCATCCCAACACACCATTGAACCTCTACAGCCTGAAACACAGCAGCTCACCAAAATAGAACATGTGCCAACAACTGGACACAAACCAAACAGAACTCCCCAGCACCGCCTAAACTCCATTTCTAATATGTTGCGGGTTAGACATGAAATCCTGCACTGTGTAAGAGCAACCCATGGTGTGAGCTTTCACCCAAAAAATGATTCTCAACTTAATTAATTCACAAATCTCTCCCAACACAGCTTCCTTTCCATTCAACACAACTTCATTTCTAAACCTCCAGATATACCACATAATTGCCAAAGGCATTGCTCTCCATATTTTGTTCTCAAGCGTCCTCCATTTAAATCCACTCCACCAGAGAAAAAGATCCGCCACTGTAGTAGGTACAATCCATTGCAGCCCCCACCAATTCAATAGATCAGACCAGATTTTCCAAACATAGGGGCACAAAAGCATGACATGAGATACTATTTCCACATGAGACCGACAGAACACACAATTCACAGAAACAATATGACCCAAAACACCAATTCTATTACGGAACACTAAAGTCTTTAACTTCCCCTTCCAGACCAACCACCCGAGGAACTGAACTTTTGGAGGAGAGACATTAGACCACAACATTTTTGATACCCCCATAGAACCAGAAGACAGTAGCAGATGATAAAGAGATGAGTAGCTAAATTGACCTGATGAGCATGGCAACCATTTCCATTGATCCAACTTATTGCAGGTTCGAATCAGAGACTGGTTCAGTATGGTGTATAATCTGTCCAACTCCTCAACCTCCCAGGCAAATAAAGCTCTACGAAAATTAAGGTTCTAACCTTTGAAGCAGCGATTTCTTTCAACCAACAACTTTAGAGAGATGCCCTTTTCATTTAACAAACTGAATAGTCAGGGGAAGTTATATTTTAAACATTGAGTCCCAAGCCACTGATCCAACCAGAAGCTCACTCTGGCCCCATCCCCAACCACAATTTGAGTGTTTTCCCAAAAAAGATTCAGAAGTTTTGGATTTGATTGGGATATACTAAGAATAACCCCCCATACTACTGAAAGATTAACTGTAACAGTAAAATTAGGCAACCACCTCCCACCAGCTGGTTGATTCCTACTGCAGATAACTTTCTTCCAAAGTGCATTATCCTCAACACCATACCTCCACCACCATTTAGCCAACAAACAATCATTCACCTCATGTATTTTCCTAACCCCAAGCCCACCTTCATCTTTACTTTTAGACACCTCAGCCCATTTAACCAAGTGAATCTTTTTTTTCAAATCAAATCCACCCCGCAAAAAAGATGCTTGCAGCCCTTCAACTTCTTTAACCACAGAAATAGGCATCTTAAAGATAGAAAGATAATAAATGGGGACACAAGACAAGACTAATTTAATTAGAGTTAGCCTCCCCCCAAATGATAGTAGCTTTCTCTTCCAGGATGCCAATTTGCCTCTAACCTTATCAACAACTGGACTCCAAGCTTTTCTCAATCTTGGATTGGCACCCAAAGGCAAACCAAGGTATGGAAAGGGTAGGTGTTTGCTTTTGCAATAAAGTCTGTTAGCAAACTCCTCAACCAGCTGATCAGGCACACCAATTCCACTCACAAGACTTTTGGAGAAATTAATCTTCAGACCAGAAACTAACTGGAAACATCTCAAAATTCGTTTTATTGTCAAAACTTCCTCCCAAACAGCCTCACAAAAAATTATAGTGTCATCTGCGAATTGTAGATGTGATATAGTTGATATCGAATCACCGTGGCCTATAACAACCCCCTTGATAAGACCACTTGACAAAGCCCTTTGCAATAAAACATTCAACCCCTCAGCAACAACATTGAAAAGGAAAGGTGACAAGGGATCCCCTTGCCTGAGACCTTTTTTAGGGACAAATTCAACTGTTGGAGAGCGATTCACCAAAACTAAAATTCAAGAAGAATGCAAGCATTCCTTAATCCACTTTCTCCACCAAGCCCCAATACCGAACACTATCAACATAGACATAAGGCATTCCCAATTAACTGAATCAAACGCTTTTTCGAAATCCAGCTTAAAAATCAAACCTTTTGCCCTATTCTTCTTCCACCAATCAGCAACTTCATTTGCAATTAAAACCCCATCCATAATGTTTCTACCCCCAAGGAAAGCAGATTGAGCCTCCACAATCAGTCTAGGAACCACTAGCTTCAGCTTACTTGTCAAGACTTTAGCAAGGATTTTGTATAAAGATCCTATCAAGCTAATTGGCCTATAATCTTAAATAGTAGCTGGGCCATCAACTTTTGGGATCAGTGTAATGAAGGAGCTATTAACCCCACCAGCCAACTTTCCCTTGTCATAGAATTCCTTAAAAAATTGTAGAACATCAGCTTTAAAAATCTGCCAACATTTTTTGAAACACATCAAATTAAGCCCATTTGGCCCAGGGGCCTTATTTCCATCACAACTTTTAATAGCTGCCCACACTTCCTCTTCAGAAAACTCTGCTTCAAGACCAACAATAGCCCCATCATGACCAATAGAGTTGAAATACCTTGACAACTTTGGCCTGCTTGACTAATCTTTTAAAATGCAGGAATATTTCTTCTTTCACTCTACTTGGTTCCTCATGGAGCACCCCTCCCACTGAAATTGAACTCAACAAATTTCTGTTTTGCCTCTTTGATGCCACTACATGAAAGAATCTTGTATTCTTATCATCTTTCATGCACCAGTCCAATCTGGATTTTTGAAGCCATATCCATTCAATCTTCCTATTTAAGGCCCACATCTCCTTTCTAAGGTCTCTCCTGCAGCCAACCTGAGAGTCATCATGGTCCCTAGATTCGGCTAGCAGGTCAAGACTATGAAGCTTCTCCTCTGCTGACTTGAGAGCAAGGTGGACATTTTCAAAAACCTCTGCATTCTATCTTTTTAAGGCCGATCTAAGGTTCCTGATTTTAGCTTGGATCACAAAACCAGCCCAACCTGGTACACCAACCTCCTCCCAGGACTTCTTCACCACCGATTGAAACTACTGATGCAAAGTCCAAGCATTCAAAAATCGAAATGGTCTTGGACCCCAGTCCCGACCATCCTGCATTAATAAAAGTGGACTATGATCGGACACTTCTCTAGGAAGGCCCCATAGGCTGAATTTGAATCTTTCCAACCACTCTACAGATAACAAAATCCTATCAATTCTACTCCATCTTCCCTTATCACTTGAGTTGCTCCACATGAACTGTCTACCTTGCATAGGAAGATCAAAGAGCTCCAAATATTCAATAAACTCATTAAAAGCCCTCATCCCTCTATCCACTCTTATGCACCCTTTTCTTTCCCCTATGGACCTAATTTTATTAAAATCCCCCCCAATACACCATAGAACAACCATGGAACACTAAATTCTGGTTTAAGATTAGACAAGACCTTCCAAACATGATTCCTCCGATCTACATCATTAAGTGTGTAGATATTAATCAACACGCAAGTAAAGACAGGTAAAATCGTACCTGATAGACGGGTGAAGCTTCAAGAGCAGCAGCACTCGGAAAGTGAGAACACAGAAGGCTTCCAAATACACAGAATTCCCCTTGCCAGCCCAGCTGCATCAACTGACATATAGTCCATGTCTTCAACTGGCCAAATAGATCTAACTACCTCAAATGAGAGTTCAGATTTCTTTGTTTCTTGCAAAAATACCACGTCAATATTTCTTTCTTTAAGTAATGTTCTAATTTTCCTCCTTTTGCTAGGTCCTCCAAGACCCTTTATATTCCAAGATAAGAGTTTCATTAAGAACAGTGAACACTCCCCAACCTCCAAGTGGAACACCCTACACAGATGCACCACCTTCCCTACAAGCGGCTTTCCTTGCATCATCTTCCTCCATCCTTATAATTTTCCTCAAGGATTCCTCTTCAGATCCATCGAAGTTAATGCCCAAAGCTTTCCCCATATTAATTGTTTCCCTTGCCTCTGCCATGATAGGATCATCACTGTGTGAGCTCTGACCTTCCGATTTTGAGCGTGAAAACACTGAAACAGCAACTTTGAACACCAGACCTTTAACCCATTTCTTCATAGCCAGTGAACCACCACTCTATAAGCCCCTCCTTTGAAGTCGATAATCCCTACCAATCCTCATTCTGAATCCTTTCTAAGCAACTATGGTTTTTCTCTTGAGGATGTTGGCTCTAGGATGAAGATGACACACCTACTTGGTTCTCCCCCAAGAGTGCCAACACAATCAATGGGCTGTGGATCAGAGATAAGATGGTCCAACTCCTGGGTTTGAGAAATTTCCATCCAGTTATGGGCCTGCTCCACAACCTCAGTATCTGAATTAGGCTTATCAATAACTTTGCCCAATTGAGCCTCCTTCAGAATAACCTGGAACCTTATACCAGGCCCAACAATCAATGGTCCACTAAGACTTTTCATATACCTACTCGTGGAAACCCCTACCTCTTAACCTAAATTGCCCCAATCACTCTTCTGATTATTAGAGGGGCTGCCAGCCACCACATTAACTACACACACCCCATTCCAATTTGTGTTCCCCATATCTCTACTCATGGTTTCCACCACCAAAGATGGATCTGAAACATTTATCATTCCATCCACCTTATTGGACCCACCATTAACCAACTCTGTCCTTTGTATGGTTACCACCTTATCTTCACTTGCCACATCTATATGGATGACAGCATCCACATCATCACCATCTTCCTTCAGGCTATCACCCACCTCTTCTTCCTGTTTCTCATGCATGTTAGAGCTAAGACACTCTTGCATAGTGCACATACAAACCTCATTCACCACCCTGGTAATGACGATTTGCTCCTCACAGATTCAAACCGGGTAACTTCTGTCTTTGCACTTCACCAGAACAACTATATTAATGGGATCCATAAAATTAGTTGCAATTCTAATTCTCCCACACCTGAATGATGTTTGATTAGAAGTTTCATCATCAATTTGGAGTACCACCCCCCATAACCTTCCGAGCTTCATAAAAGTGTCGTTGTTCCAAAGATTGAGTGGCACACCATAGCAGCTTAACCATACTCCTCGTTCTTGTTCAATGTAACCATTCTGCCCCCATAAGGATACAGACTCACACCAATCCTTCAGACAGTCGTGGAGTAAGGCTTGATTCTCCTTAAGATGGTCAGTTGATTTGAATGAGACTACGACCATTCTACCACCACCTTCCTTTACTACAATATCCTTAGAACCTTTTTCAAGAACCGCTTTTTGAAACTCGGGAAAAGCTTGGAAGCATTTCAGCTTAACAATAAGACTTTCATAAAGCCAACCATTCCCAACTTCGTTGGCATATACTACACGGCTCTCCCTTCCCCTAGCAGGATCATCAAATAAAGCTTCGGCATAAGATTTTTGACCAACAAACCCCAGTGTAGGTATTCGACCTGACGGTGATTTAAGCCGCTTCTCATTCTTACCTTCTTTATTGATGACCACTAGGTTCTTCCTTAAAGCTTTGACAAAGTCGTCTTTCCAAACGCTGCTACCTTCACCTTAAGCTCCTTGTCGTCACACCACACCCCATTGCCTTTTGGACAGCTATTGTGGCTGCAACTTGGCAATCATACCTGACGAACCCGAATTTTGACTTTGTCGCTTTCTTGGTTTTATTTGGAATGAAAACGTCTCTGACGACTCCAAAAATATTGAAACCTTAGGGCTTGATATCTTGAAAGGGTGAAGACAGACGCGGAAGAAGAGGGTGGGAGGGGGATTTTTTTTTTTCTTCTCTGCATCCGTGTTTGGGTGTTAAGGGTTGCACACCATAGGCATAATTCACAAAATCATGTACATTTTTACGAACTTACGTAAGTGATCTTATAGAAATACGTAAGTCAAACACAAATTTACATAAGTCTAATTCATGGAAGTTTTAAATTCACAAAATTACGTAAATTTTCAAAAACTTACATAAGTCATCTAATAAAAATATATAATTCAAATCACAAAAATATATAATAAAAGTGCATACATATAATATGCAATATACGAGTAGTTTTATGTTGTGGGTTCTTCCATGCACGTATCAAAATTATGTAATTTCAAATTGCACCAACCCATAAAAGTTCCTAATCATGTTCCATGTCACCAAACTTGACAAGAAAAAAATATAAAATAAAAAGGAGACGGCATTCTCACTTCCCTTTTTTCCATATAAAAAAAGTGTGGACAAAACATATAAAGTTCAAAAACTAGCTAAAAACTTTTAGCTGCAGCAAATCACGTAGAAATTCTGATTTATGTTATAATGCCATCTAACCACATGATTTTTTGCATTTTTCCATTGCAACATTCCAATATTTAAAACATATATACGTATAGGAATATAAGAAAGAGAGAAGAAATACATATAAGGGGTCTCTCATCATTTATATTGCTAATATATTCAAATCATTTGTTTAGTTTTTCCAAGAGAAAGAAACACAGTATGATGATTTCATGCTATAATTAAGAATATACATTCACACACACACACACACCCATTGGGAATTGATGAAAAGCCGTAAAGCCGTACCTAAGAACTCACTTCCTGTGTAGCTTCATCATGGACCTTAGAATACGATTTGCCAGATTCAGCAGACTAAAACACAGAGCATTGCCCCAAACATATGTAAATTCAATAAAACTCATGTTTTTTTGGCCTAAACTAGATTTCTCTTACCAAGACCAGGAACCAATTCGAATTTGGATACTAAGCACACATACTTCTAAAAGGAAATCGTATCTACATCAAATAATGACACTCCTTGGAAAATGAAATTCATAATTGCCCTCTTATATAATAATAAAGTTACTTAAATTATTAATTGAAACATATTTTTAACATCATTAAAAACTATTAATTGACTTGATGATTTATTAATAAAAAGGGTGATTTCTTATGAAATTAAAAACCTCATGAGGTAAAACGTAATTTTCAAAACCATAAAGGTGATTTGTATTTTAATCATATCTCAAGGGATGTGTTTATATTTTACCCAATAAAATAAAATATTCTATATTCCAATCGAATTTATTTTGGTAGGATCTAAATCAATTTGGGAGATAACAATACATGTACATACAAAAATACCATAACCAAAATCACTATAAATTTGACAATCACTAAAATCTCAAAATCAAGAATGAAAATGACTAATGATTAAAATTCTAAATCTTTATATTTAGAGCGTATAATACATACCATTTGCAATAAAAAAATAAAAAATTAAAAAATAGCACAGTTTCTTGATCGTATCTTCGGATTATTTCCTCTCTTCCTGTACACAGTGTGTAACGGACTCACTATTAATAATATATTGAGTTTTATATGGGGAAAATTAGTCTAAACTCCTTCCCCATTTTTAGTAATGGAAGAGATCCACAATATTATTTTATGATGTCTAAGGTCCCTCAACTCTTACACCCATCTATCATAGAGAAATTTGACTGAAATCAAACCTCATTTGCAAACTGAATTCATAAGGCAGAGCAAGATCTGAGAATCAAAGATGCGTAAATAGATACATATGTAAGTATGTATATGTAGAGAGAGAGAGAAAGGGAGAGAGAGAGAAAGGGAGAGAGAGAGAGAGAGAGAAGGGAACCTCTATGGGAGAACCTAGAGCCGAGCTTGGCGTAAGAAGAGAGCTTGACGTCGAGATCGCCCTCTATATTGTGAGCCTCCTTCCTCAATTCCTATAACAGCTCCATAGTCGGATCCGTCATTCGATCTCAGGTGAGATTAGACCCGACCCATTTTTGCTCCTTTGTCTTTTGTGTTATGTTGCTATCTCTCTCTCTCTCTCTCTCTCTGTGTGTATTTATATATACTAGTTGAAGAGAGTTTGGTTGTTACTTGCAGTTAGAATCGAACACTCCTTTTGCCTTGTGAAATTTATATAGAGAAATTCTAATATACATACGTTTTTTTATGAAAAAATTAGTCTTAGGTCATTCTCCCATTTTTAGTAATGGAAGAGATCCATAATATTATTTCTCTGGGTTGAAAGGAATTTTCTCTAGGTTTATGTGAATTTCTCTAGGTTTGAGAGAATTTTCTCTAGACTTTTATGAATTTCTCTAGGTTAGAAGGAATTTTCTCTGGGTTTTCGTAAATTTCTCTAGGTTGGAAGGGAAAATTAAAAAAGGCCATTGTTGATCAAAGCTTTTACAGATATCTATGGGTACTTTTTGAAAGTTGTTTTGGAAGATCTCTCTCTCTCTCTCTCTCAATTTACTTGATAGGTTGGGTTCTTCTTCAGCTCTTCTTCTGTGGTGGTAATATATCATAATCTGTGCTCTTTCTCAGATTCTCTTCTAGAGAAATTTGGTGTTGGAGATGTGTAAAATTTTCTTTGTAATGTGTCAAGCGAAATATGGTGTTGGTCTAGATAAATTTGAAATTTTCTCTGTGATGTGTCCAGAGAAATTTGGAATTTTTTCTATGATTTGTCCAAAGAAATTCTCCAGATCGAATTTTTTCTGGATTGATATTGAGAGACTTTAGACATTATAAAAATATTGAGTATCCTTTATGCTATAAGATTTTAATATCAGGACCTTAAAAAAAAATCCCTTTTATATGCCAAGCATACTGTTGACTATATGATATTTCTAAAGTTTTCATTCTTTATTTATTTTTTAAAATTTTAAAACCTGAAAAAAAGAAAAGAATACTCTTTCAAATTAGCTTCCATTTTTATCACGGATCACTAAAAATTTAGAGTTGACAATTTTATTAAGTTATTTTTCTTAGGATAAATTATATAAATAGTCCCTATAATTTATACAATATGTCAATTTGGTCCCTGTTGTTTTAATTTGTTCGATTTTGTCTCTTAATTTAAAGGATTGTATCATTTTAGTCCCATAAATAATGATTGCCAAGTTTGGTGGACGAAAAATCAAACTATGTGTCAATTTGGTCTCTATAGTTTACACATTGTGTCAATTTGGTCCCTATCAAAATCGAGCAAATTAAAACAATAAGGATCAAATTGACACATTGTGTAAACTACATGGACCAAATTGACACATTGTGTAGACTTTCCGTCCACCAAACTTAACAACCATTATTTATTAGACTAAAATGACATAATCCGTTAAATTAAGAGGCAAAATCGAACAAATTAAAACAACAAAAACTCAATTGACACATCATATAAACTATAGGGACCATTTACTTAATTTACCCTTTTTCTCTTAACTACTTGCATGATTTCTGATCCATGTGATCTCTGCATTTGACCAACCTTTCTATCTAAAAATGTCATGGCACTGGCCAGTGAGAGAAAGTTATTGACATTTATTGGATGTTATAACACTAACTAGGTGTTGTTTTTTATTTTGTTTTGTTGTTTCGATTCGGTTGATTTCTCACGGATTTTAATATTGTATTAGAAGATAATTGGGTTTGTTTGATAGTGTCAACTTAATTGAGATTGTTAAGTTTTATTTTGACACTTTATGCAGACATTCATTTTTATTGATATTTGTATTAGTCATTTATATACTTTTATTTTCATCAATAAAATTGCTTTTGTTGAAAAAAAAAAAAAAAACTAGGTAGGGCTGGAGCCAAGATTCCCCTCATGGAGAGACTAGATTGCCAGGAAAAAAAAAAGGGGAGGGGGGATAGTGTAGACACCCTATTTTTTACCGACCTCAAGACTTTGATGTCAACGTTTGTACACACGGTGATTGCGTATGTTTGTGCTCGTTATGAGTTTCCGGAGCTTTCGCCTGAACGCCTTGTCTCGAGACCTCTTAACTCTCTTCTTTTTGGTTTGTTTTTGGACCATACCTTGTCACCCCTCGCCTGGAGGAAGGGGAGGGCTTGTCGGCCACTTTTGGCAGTTCTTGGCTACTTTCTCCTCTTGTAGGCCACTTGAAGTGGCCGGTAGGCTTGTGGAAGTGGCCGACGACCATTTTTCTATTTTTGCAGATATTTTTGGTGCCAGCTATTGGTCACTGAATGCATCTATAAAAGGGGAGGTGCCTCCCCCTTCTTGGGGGTCAGATTTTTTTAGAGCAAAAAAATCTACTCTATATATATATATATATATATTTGTGCTTGAAAGTGCTTGAAAGTGGAAATTCTTGGTGCATTTGCAAAGGAACTCTTGATCAAACACCTCTACCTTGAAGCTAAGGTTCTTGGAGGTCTCATTTGAGCTCTTAAATACTGATTTTGGCTCAGAAGTTACTGATTTTAAAGTTGTGCTTCAAGGGTGAGTGTCTTCCCTCTTTAAGCTTTATTTTGATCAAGTGTTTGGCCACCTTTGCATGCTATTTTGGCTTAGTTTTCAGATACAAAAACCTTTGTTTGAGTTAGGGGTGGTCTACCCCCTTTTGTGGCTTATTTTGCTTTGCTTTGAGCCATATTTTAAAGCCTTTGAGATCACCTTTGTTTGCCCTTTTCACCAC